ATAACCAGAAAAAGACAACAAAGTCAAAGCTCCTACATCCAAAGCCTGCAAGAAAAACATGAATTGGTCCCAGGCAATCGAAAAGCTCAAAAAGGTTTTTGAGAAGCAAGTAAGAGAAGTAGAGGAAAAACTGGGAAGAGAAATGAAAGTTACACAAGAAAATCATGAAAAACAAGTCAACAGCTTGCTAAAGGAGACCCAAAAAAATGCTGAAGAAAATAACACCTTAAAAAATAGCCTAACCAAAATGGCAAAAGAGGTCCAAAAAGCATATAAGAAGAAGAATGACTTCAAAAGCAGAATTAGCCAAATGGAAAAGGAAGTCCAAAAGCTCACTGAATAAAATTACTTCCTTAAAAATTAGAATGGAGTAAATGGAGGCTAGTGATTTTATTAGAAATCAAGACATCATAAAAGAAAACCAAAAGAATAAAAAAAAATAGAAGACAATGTGAAATACGTCTTTGAAAAAATAACTGACCTGGACAATAGATCCTGGAGAGATAATTTTAAATTATTAGACGATCTGAAAGCCATGATGAAAAAAAATATCCTAGACATCATCTTTCAAGAAATTATCAAGGAAAACTGCCCTGATATTCTAGAACCAGAGGGTAAACAGAAACAGAAAGAATCCACCAATCATGTCGTGAAAGAGATCACCAAAGGAAAACTCCTAGGAATTTTGTAGCCAAATTCCAGAGTTCCCAGGTCAAGGAGAAAATATTGCAAGCAGCCAGAAAAAAAAAACAATTCAAGTATTGTGGAAACACAATCAGGATAACAGAGGATGTAACGGATTCTACATGAAGGGACTAGAGGGTTTGCAATATGACATTCTGGAGGTCAAAGGAGACAGGATTACAACCAAGAATCACCTACCCAGCAAAACTGAGCATAATCTTTCAGGGGGAAAAAAGGATATTCATTTAAATAGAGGACTTTCAAGCATTCTTCATGAAAAGACCAGAGCTGAATAGAAAATTTGACTTTCAGATACAAGACTCAAGAGAAAAATGAAGAGGTAAACAGGAAAGAGAAATCATGAGACTTATTAAGGTTGAACTTTTTACATTCTGCATGAAAGATGACATTTGTAACTCATGAGTCCTTTGTCAGTATTAGAGTAGTTGGAGGCAAAAAATTATGTGTGTGTGTATACATATATATACAAATATATATACATATATATACACATATATATATATACTATATATAATATACATATATATAGGAATATAGATAGATAGAGGGCACAGGGTGAGTTGAAGATGAAGGGGTGATATCCAGAGAATAAAATTAAGGGGTGAGAAAGGATTATACAGAGAGAAGGAGAAAGGGAGGGGTAGAATGGGGTAAATTATCTCACACAAAACAGACAAGTAAAGGCTTTTACTGTGGAGGGTAATTTGGGGGAAGGTGAGAGGGAATGAGTGAATCTTATTCTCGTTGGATTTGGCTTAAGGAGAGAATAACATGCACACTCAATTGGGTATGGAAATCTATCTTACACTACAGGAAAATGGGGGGGAAGGGAACAAGAGAGCAGGAGGATTATAGAGAGGAGGGCAGATTGGGGGAGGGGATAATCAGAAGCAAACACTTCTAAGGAGGGACAGGGTCAAAAGAGAGAATAGAATAAATGGAGGAGGGCAGGCTAGGATTAGGGGAAATATACTTAGTTTTTCACAACATGACTACTATGGAAGCGTTTTGTGTAACTACATATATATAACCTGTATTGAGTTGCTTGCCTCTTCAATGAGGGTTGGTGGGGAGAGAAGATGGGAGAAAACTTGTAACCCAAAATTGTAGAAACAAAAGTTAAAAAATAACTGCTTTCACATGCAACTGGGAAATAAGATATACAGTAGAGAAATCTATCCTGCCCTACAGGAGAACTGAAGGAGAAGGGGATAAGAGAAGGGAGGGGAGAGATAGGAGGGAGGGCAGATTAAGAGAAGGTATATTCAGAATGCATGCCGTCTTGGGGTGGGGGAAGGGATAAGATGGGGAGAAAATTTGGAACTTAAAATCTTGTGGAAGTGAATGTTGAAAACTAAAAATAAATTAATTAAAATTAATTTTAAAATTAATTTAAAAAAAGAAATGTTTCTTAGCTCATTAGTCGATTGATTACAAACTAAAAGGAAAGGCCAAAAAGTTTTGGTACCTAAGGATCCCGAATCAGTACCAACCTTTCCTAAGAAACTTGTATATTTTTTTCTTTCATAATTAATTACAATTTGTAAATAATCTTTTTCTCTGCTACTTAACACTTTTTACAAATATGATACCTTCTTAAGTATTTGCTCAACTAAGAATGCAAGCATGATTAATTTGTAATTCATTTTATTTTAAAATGTTCAATTTCAATTTGCCACCTGATACCTTCACCCTAAAAATTCTTTTCTACAAAAGACAGTACAGATGCAGGATGGCCTTTGGGAAATTAAAAAAAAAATCTTGATGTTGAGTCCAGGTGCAGAGGAAAAAATCATTATCTAAAGTCAGATTAGATTTCAGGATCTATGACCTAACATCACAGAGGTGATAATTCATTCACTGGATTTGAGTTTAGTAGAGCATCAGGAATTTTAATAGAGAACAGGAAGCACAGGAAAATAATACAGCAATGGAAGTAGACCCAAAGGAAAACAAAGAAGAATGCAGTATCTTTAGCAATTCTGTACCCATCTTCATAAAAGCAGTTCAGTCCTTTCAGTCATGTCCGAATCTTCTTGGCAAAGTTGCTGGAGTGGTTTGCCATTTCCTTCCTCCAGCTCATTTAGGTGAGATTTTAACCCAGATCTTCAGGCTCCAGTTCCAAGGCTCTTTTCCACTGTACTATGCTGCCTGTCAGAAGTTACTTGTGGATTGATCTAGGAATGGATTACTACAAAGGCCAAGTACATATTTAAAGATAATTATACCTAGTACATACAACTCAAGTAAATGCAGAATGGAATTAACTTTAATTTCTCTGCTTCCTTTCTTTGGTAATAGCAATATGGAAAATGTTTGGCTCCCCATATGTTAACTAAGGGGAGTAGGTGGGCATGAGGGAAGAAATTCAGTGAGATCTGAATAACCCCTATTTCCCCAGTTGCAGGATGTTTTGTTACTTTCTTAGGCCCATGGTAAGAACTAAGGATAGAGGGAAACACACTACCAGGGTATGAAGTAGGATAGGTGGGGGAAGAGTTAGTTGAACTCATTAAGAGTCATACAATAGGAGACTATCCTAGGAAGATAGCAGAGCAGGTCAGAAAATTCCAAGCTCTCCAGATTTCCCACACAAACAAGACAAAATTGCACCTCAGGGCAAATATAGAACAGTAAAAACAACTAAGAGTTGGGGCAGAACAGTAGTCCTCCTAGGACAACCAAGTGAAGATCCAAAGAAAAATCCCAGGACTGAGGGTTGGTGCCTGTGAAAAGTTAACACCTCCTGGGTAGTTCTCCTGAAACAGCAAGTGGTGACCTTTGGGGCTAGCTGGGTTGAGAGGTAGCCTCAGCCTCACCCACAGGAACTTTCACTTCCTAGACAGTGTCAGGAGTCTGAATCTAAGCCAAAGAAAATTAAGGAAACTGCTGCTGATAAGAAACACCAAACCCAGCTGTGCTGCCAAGACATGGCCCAGGGCAAGAAGGAACCAGCACACCCCCAGTGAGTGCAGAAGCAATGGGGTAGAGATACCACTAGCTGTGGGCATTAACAAGAGGGCAGAGTTCTTGATTTCAGTTCCAGGCCAGAGAGGAAAACTGAAGGAAGATCTGAAGCCAGAGGCACCATCCCCCCATCCCTCAGAACTAGAGGTGATTACAAAAAATTTTAAAAAAAATTAAAAATAAGCTACTACAAGTAAATAAGCAAGCAAAAAAAAAAAATTAGAAAACACAAGAGAAAGAATCCAACCATAAAAAGTTGCTATGGTAACAGAGAATACTGAGGTTCACCTGCACAGGAGGATACTAAAGGAAATAAATTCTCCAATCCCAAAGAGTAACATCAAATGGTCACCTGCCCAAAAAGAATTCTTAGGAGAACTTTAAAAAGACTTTGAAAATCAAATGAGAGAGATTGAGTAAAAATTTAAAAAATAAGAACAATCCAAGAAAAATAAGAGTATGGAAAGAAAGTCAACCAGTTAGAAAAGGAGATTCAGAATCTTAAGGGAAAAAAACAACTCCTTGAAAATTAGAATTGTAGGGCAAAGCCAAGATGGTAAAGGCAGGGACTTGCCTGAGCTCTCCCCAAAAACCCTCCAAATACCTTAAAAATGACTCTAAACAAATTCTAGAGCAGCAGAACCCATTAAAAATGGAGTGGAACAAATTTCCAGCCCAAGACAACTTACAAGATCGGCAGGAAAGGTCTGTTAGACTAGGCTGAGAGAGAAGTACCATCCAGCACAGGCTGCACCAGTATAGACCAGGCCACAGTGAGCCTAGAGCAGGCCTTGGGGTGACTTAATCAGCAGTGGCAGTGGCTGCAGCTACTTCTAGGGTTCCCAGGCCACAGATGATAAGGGGGTTGAACTGGTCAAAAGGAGATCACAGGTGTCTTTGCTATCACTGAGGACTCTGTTGATTTGTCCACACCTGCATCTGGGTCCCTATTTTGGGTGGCGTTCTCAGGGTGAGGAGGACATTAGCATTGCTTGTAGCAGAAGTGGAAGGGGGACCCTCCTCACAATTCCAGGACAAAAAAGTGTGCTTGTGGTCACTCACAGAACATAGGCCAGGAGAGTAGAAAACACCTCTCCTTAGATCATACCACCTTGGAAGAACTGAAAACTTGAAAGTCCCTAGAAGTATCTTTGAAAACAGGTGCACAAAACCCCTGAAGTTTGGGACAGTGCACCCCCCACCCTAGAAGCAGAGCCTTACTTTAGCAAACAGTTAAAAGTCAAGTAATAGGCTGGTAAAACGAACAAATAATGGAAAAATCTCTGACTGTAGAAAGTTATGGTGATGAAGAAGATCAAAATACTTACTCAGATGAAAATAGGAAAGTCGAAGCTCCTACATCCAAAGCCTGCAAGGAAAAGATATGAATTGGTCTCAAGCCATGGAAGAACTCAAAGAGGATTTTGAAAATCAAGTAAGAGAGAAAGAGGTAAAAAAGGAAGAAAAACAAGAGTGATAAAATAAAATCATGAGAAAAGAGTCAACAGCTTCTTGAAGGAGACACAAAAAAATACTGAGGAAAATAACACCTTAAAAAACAAACAATGTCAAATGGCAAAAGAGGTCCAAAAAGCCAATGAGGAGTAGAATGCCTAAAAAGCAGAACTGGCCAAATGGAAAAAGAGGTCCAAATGGAGCAAATGGAAGCTAATGATTCTTTGAGAAATCAAGAAATTATTTTTAAAAAAAGAATTAAAAATAGAAGTCAATATGAAATATCTCATTGGAAAAAAAAATGGCCTGGAAAATAGATCCAGGAGAGAGGACTTAAAAATTCTATTTGTTATTGCTATGCAATTACCTGTCGGGTAAGACAGATTTCTATATTCATCTAACTGTGTACATTATAACTTCTTTGAACCAATCTGATGAGAGTAAGGTCCAAGTTATGCCCATTGCTGACCCTCTCATGTTCCCCTCTACGTGATAAATCTTTCAGACTTCTTCATGTGAAATAATTTATCCCGTTCTACCTCTCCCTTCCTTCTACATCTAATGTAGTCCTCTTTTTCATCCCTTAATTTTTAAAATATCATTCCCTTATTTCACCTCATCTCCATACCCTCTGTCTATGTATTCCTTCTTGCTGTGCTTTTGGTCGTACAATTTTTAAGGTCACAAGTATAATCTTCCCATTTAGAGATGTAAACGGTTCAGCTCTATTTAATCCTTTTTTTCTTCCTTTTTATACTTCTCTTGGGTCTTGATTTTGAAAATCAAATTTTTTGTTCAGTTATGGACTTCTCCTCATGAAAGACTGAAATCTTTCTATTTCACTGAATGACAAGCTTTTTTTTTTCCTTGAAACATTATGAAATGTTATGCTGGGGACATGATTCATGATGGTAGTCTTAAATCCTTTGCCTTCCAGAATATCATGTTCCATGACTTCTGATCCTTCAATACTACAGCTGCTAGGTCCCATGTTGTCCTGATTGTGGCTCCTCAATATTTTTTGTATCTTTCTGGCCACTTATAGTATTTTTCCTTAACCTGATGGTTCTGAAGTTTGGCTATAATATTCCTCGGAGTTTTCATTTTGAGATCTCTTTCCTGAGGTGATCTGAGGATTCTTTCAATGCCTATTTTGCTTTTTTCCAGGCTATCAAGGTAGTTTTCCTCAATCATTTCTTGAATGATGCTGTCCAGGTCCTTCCTTTGATTATGCCTTTCAAATAGCCCAATGATTCTGAGATTATCTCTCCTGGATCTATTTTCCAAGTCAGTTGTTCTTTCTGTGAGGTATTTTACATTTTTTTCTATTTTTTCATTCTTTTGATTTTATTTGATTGATTCTTGGTTTCTCATAGACTCATTAGCTTCCACTTGACCAATTCTACCTTTGAAAGAGTTGTTTTTCTCAGTTAGCTTTTGTACCTCCTTTTCCATTTGACCAATTCTACTTTTTAAGCAGTTGATTTCTTTTTTCAAGCTGTTGACACTTTTTTTCATAGTTCTCTTGCATCACTCTCATTTTTTTTCCCAATTTTTCTTCTGCCTCTCTTATATGGTTTTTAAGCTCCTTTTTGAGCTCTTCTGTGAGTTTTTTCTGGGCTTGAGACCAATTCCAATTTTTCTTTGGAACTTTGCATATAGGTATTTTGACACTGTTGTCCTCTTCCAAGTTTGTGTCTTGACCTTTCCTGTCACCGTAATAATTTTCTAGGATCAGATCCTTTTGTGTTGTGTTTTACTCATCTTTTTCAGCCTTTTCCTTACTTTCACATTTGAGCTCTGCTTTTGGATTGGAAAGGGTAGTATACCAAGCTTCTTGGTCTAGGGGCTACAAGCCCTGGCTGTTTACCTGGTATTGCACTTGATGTTCTATTGGGGCCATGGGGGGCTCCTGTGTTTGGTGCTGCACTGAGGGGAACTGGGGGATGGCTGGCACTGCTGGAGGTCACAGGGGGTCTGGCAGTTTACCTGGTACTGAGCTGGTGTCCCAGGGCTGGTGTCTGGAGTGTGCTGAGGGTGATGGGGTTTTCCTATATTGGTATCCGCCTGTTTGCCAAGGGCTACACTGATGCACATGGTGGGTTCTAACACTGGCAGCTGCCTGTTTACTGGCTATGCTGAGTCGTGTGCGGGGTTCCAGTGCTGATGTCTGCCCATTTGCTTACGTGGTATTTGAGCAAAGATCTGAAGGCTACTGAGATTCTAAGAGGTTGAGGGGAGGAGGGACTCCACTGGGAGAGCAAAGTGGTACAATGCATAGACTTCTGGGCCTGGAGTCCATTTAAACCTGGATTCAGATAGCAGTTGTGTGACCTTGGACAAATCACTCAATTTCAGTTTCCTCATTTGTTAAGTTAGTTTAATTATAACATCTACCTCCCCAGGGTTTTTGTTAGAATTGAATGAGACAATTGTAAAGTGCTTAGCACAGGGTCTGGCCCACAGTAGAGACTATATAAATGTTAGCTCTTGTTATTACTATTATTACTTTACATAGCCCACAGATCTTTAGGTTGGTTTGTTGATGGCTACCCTTTTTAATTCAATTTAAGAAATATTTAACACATATTTCTACATTCAAGGCAGTGTTCTACACAAGGTCAGGTTGTCATGGGTGTTTTTTTCTTTTTCTTTTGTCTCTTTTTGTTCTCTCCAAGAGATATGAGGCATCACCAATTGCTTGTATATAGGTGAGAATGTTTGAGACAATTGTCATTAAAAACCTCCACTCTATCAGTGGTTGTCTTAATATAAAGTCATCACATAATGATACCATATAGACAACCATGTGGGATATTGAATAGAATGATGGATTTGGAGTTAGGAAGACCCAAATTCAAATCCTGACTCAGATAGTTATTAACTATGTGACCAGGGGTGTGCAACTTTACTTTCCTCATCTGTGAAATGGAGATAACGATAGTGTCTACTTCAAAGGGTTGTTCTAAGGATAAAATCTTATGTACATATAACTATGTATACATAAACATATGTACATGTATGCATGTGCACATATATACATATTTGTATGTAGATGTGTATATAAATACATATAAATATATAATGTTTCAAACCTTACTAATATCATATAAAATCACCCAGTAAAGCTTATATCTAGGATTTTGTGGAAAGTGGATGACAGACATTTCCTGAGCCAGAACCCAAAGCTCCAGAAAATGAGTAGGGTCCAATCAAAGTCTCATGACAAGGAAATAATAACTAGTAATTATTATCAAATTATAAGAAAACTATAATAATAATAACGACTAGAATATATTGTTGTTGTTGTTGTTGTTGTTGTTGTTGTTGTTGTTTTCCAGCTGTTCAGTCACATCCAGTTCTTCACGACCTGATAAACTTATCTATGGGTTTTTCTTGGCAAAGATACTGGATTGCTTTACCATCTGCTTTTCCAGTATGCCCCCATTTCATAGATGAGCAAATGAGGCAAACATGGGTAAGTTTCTAAAGCAAAATTTAAACTTAGACTTTCCTGATTCTAGTACTCTAAGCACTGTACTACCTAGCTGTACCCCGAGAACATATTAACATTCTTCTATTAATGATTAAGACCATTTTCCTCACAATTCTGTTAATCAGGAAATGTATTATTGCCTCATTTTACAGATAAGAAAATTGAAGATCAGAGACTTCCTCATCTCTGATTTTTATTTTTTTTTTAGCCAATTGGGGTTAAGTGACTTGCCCAGGGTCACACAGCTAGCAAGTGTCAAGTGTTTGGTTTGAAGCCAGATTTGAGCTCAGGTCCTCCTGACTTCAGGGCCAATGCTCTAACCACTGTCCCACATAGCTACCCCGTCATCTCTGATTTTTACTGTGCACAGTAGTTGCTCCAAATCTTCTCCTCTTCTCTCACATTGGCCTTTCTATGTGCTTATAAACTACTTTCATAATGATGTCACATAACTTTGCCTCCTGCTTTACTAAGAATATCAAAACTAGCCTTTTGAATCTTCTTTGTCTTCCATTATCATCTCAAAACCATTCTATATCTTCATCTCTCTATTACTTCATTACTGCAGTCTCAGAGGATCAGGTCTGCATTCAGTATGCCAAAATTAACCCCTATATTTGTATCCTTGGTTTACCTGAAATGGTTTACAAACTTTAAAGTATAATATGAATGCTTGTTTTAATATTATATATATATATATATATATATATATATATATATGTGTGTGTGTGTGTGTGTGTGTATCAGTAATATATATAATATGTATATACAATGTATTATATATAATTATATATTATATATGATTATTTATTTCATTATTAGTATTACTATTCTTTTTATCTCTATGATAATTTCATCCTAAACTCATCTCCAATCTCTCTATATTTTATAGCTCCTGTACCACAACTTACAAACTTACTCTGGTCTTCCAATCCTCACAAAACTTCGCTTGTCTCTGATCACCACCCAAGGTACTCTGATATTTCTCATCCATTTCACTGCTAAACTCCAGGGGGAAAGTAGTCTATTCTAGTATCAGCCTTTTGCTCACTACTTACTTCTTTGCCAACCTGTTAAGAACTCACATCTCAGCACCATGTGGACTTTCTACAAAAATTGAACATGTATTGGGGCACAAACACATTGAAAACAAAGATTAAAAAAGCAAAATTAATAAATATATCCTTTATGGGACATAACACAATGAAAACCTTAATTGGTTCAGTAATCTCAAATCAAAGACACTGACTAAAATGGAGATTCAACAATAACATCCTAAATAATGAGTCAGTCAAAGAGCAAATCATGGGGACAATAATTATGTGAAATAAATGATAATGATAAAACAGCATGTCAAACTTTCTGGGATATAGCTAAAGCAATCTTAAAGGGGGAAAATATATCCTTAAAAACATACA